AACTAAAAACCAAAAATATTTAAAAAAATTAAAACTAAAAAAAAAAAACCAACAAAAAATTACTATTTTAATTCTTCTATTGGTGTATATTTCTAGTTATATTCGGGAAGAATTTTTAAATTATTTTTTTTTTGGTTTTGAAATTTTTGATTTTGTGATTTTGGTTGTATTAAGGATAAGAGATTATTATATTTCAGTATTTTTAATTATAATAGCGTCCTTGGAAATAAGAATTGATATTGATATTGTCAAGCGTATTTGAATTACCGGAAATATAATGGGAGAAATTACGTGGTCTGATAACTTCGCCCTATGCCGTGCGCTTTCAACTGTAGTATTCGAAGATGATACGGATCCAAAGATATGGTATTGAAGTATTATAACTGACAATTATAATTAAATTAAGTAACGATTGTCGCTTGAATTTACATTCTCTAGAGCAAATTCAATTTAAATCATAATTATATTTGACCCAATTCTGTATACTATACGAGAAGTTAATTATTTCGGAATTAGGCAATAAATATAAAGGCATTTTCATGATTATTATTGGATATTACTAGAGTAATTATTGTAAAATTATTTAGAAGCACTCGGTATTATATATATTTCTATAACTGATTATAGTGTTATCTTTACATTTTTATATAGTCAGATTTCAAACTTAAATATACTAGGAATATAAATAGGTTATCGTTTGCCAATTGATAGAAATCTATAGCATATAGTGAATATATATATATATATGTTCCCAGTAGTATCTCTAGGGACAATGGCATAGAAGTCGTATATATTACTATTTTCACAATTATATAGATAATTAACCGAGTAGACTAAATCCTCGGACCTGTTTAGGCGGAGTGTTTATTAAGTAATATCAAATCTAATTTGAAGATGAGACTAATATAGTATATTTAGTAATCTTGCCAACAAGTGAACTCAATACATAATGATTTTGCAATGATTACTATTTAGTCACGCTACTGCGGTTAGGAATATTGATACTGTTAATGGACGAAATCCTGCATCGATT